TGACGTATCCGAGCTGAGAAAATCGGTTCAATCCCCAGCTGAGCACTTCTCCGGACGAAGTAAGAGCTAGGGTGTGATCTTGTCCTAGTGCCACCGCTGTGATGGTGTGTGGGAATGATCCATGAGGGCACAGTAGTGAAAATTGGGTATGCGAGCTGGTCGTCGCACCGGGTCCTAATCTACCACTACCAGTGAATCCACAAGAGCGTATATTAGCTCTTGATTCTGTCGTAATGACGACAGTGTGCAACTTGGACATGGAAACATCGGAAATCGACACGGTTTGGAGCGATTCGTGAAGATTGTTCGTTCGTTGTCCTTCAGGACGTCGAATGACTACTTGCTCGGGTAAGGCCCTGTCATCCGAGTCACCTAGCCCGAGGGTGGCATTTCTATTGGAACCCCAAGTGTAGAGTTCCGCCATAGGTCTGTCCGTGATGATGGTGGATGGGTTGGTTCCATTGACGGTAGAGTTGTAGAGGTCGAATGGAGTATAGCCTTCGTAGTCCTTTAAGAACATATCTGTATCGGACCGTTGAAGAAGCAAAACTCTATTTGACAAATGGGAGTCTGAGTCAGTCACCGGTCATCCCAAGGGAGCGAACGGGAAAGAAAGACCCCGTTATACGCACGCAACAGCAATATTCCCAGCGTACAACGCTCTATGCAACGCTGTCCAGTGGCTTTCTTGGTCATAGCTGTTGACCTGGATTTGGGGGTGAGCCAACAAGAGTCGGGCGAATTCGAGTGCTGCAGGGTCGGTCGCTGAGCAAGCAAGGTGCAAAACGGTTCTGCCTAGCCAGTCTTGTGCATTAACATCGATATATGGAGATGTTATTGACGATATCTTTGTCCAAGAGCGACCTGCTGAGGCACTACCACCACTACCACTGGTTAGCTGGCTCGCACCGGCATTACTCATCGCCGTCTTCGACTGCTCCAAGCATCTTTGGAACTCGTTTTGCTTTCTAAGGTGGAAATAGGCATGAAGTAAGCTCATTCAGGGGGCTGAGAAATATGCCCTCGACGGTCAAGGAATGCGCTGATCGATACGCAGTCCCTTTGCCGTCCAAGCGCTATACCAAACTCGATCGCGTCGAATGCAGCGGTCGAGTGTTGTGCTGAGAGATGTTGTGGATGCCTCTCTCGGTGGTGGTGAGGTCCAAATTTGAATGGAGGTAATGAATGATATCAACGTGCGGCCTGAGATGAACCGTGTTATGGTCCGGCTAACAGACCCAATCAATCGATGAACGTGGCATTCGTCTCTGGAGAATATTCGCAACAATTTGGAAAACGTTTCATTTGGTATTCTTTGATATTTGTACACTTTGTCGGCCACTCGGGCCGTATATATCCTAAAAGTACATTTGGAGAGTTATGATAAGCCACATAACCCCATCAAGATTCCGTTATAAGGGCCCAGATGTTGAGCTACATTGGAGATAAGGATGTTGCCAACATCTGTGACAGTGCATCCTGCCTCAGTGTTATCGTTTCCTAACGAGCAGGTCAGCTTCATGCTACACAGCCCATGAACAAGACATACCGGGACAGACAACCCAAGCGTTATCATCTCTGATATGAATTTCTCCTTCATCCCCGGAAAAGCCCATGAAGCGACCGGGCAGGATTGGAACAGGGTCATCCTAGCCAAAGATTAAGACTCGGTATGAGTACTTCATTCGTGGTCCGTACCTTGTTATTGATTCTCTTCTTATCAGGGATATTGGTATTGATCCAGCTGGCCCATGCTGGGTTGCCAACCTAGGTAGAAATAGGTAAGCACACAAGCTCATCGAGCCACATCATCACTCACTCTTGGTTTGCCATAGCCCACTAGTTTGAAGGTATATCCAGAGCCAAGTCGGAGCTTCAAGCTAGAGGCAGCGATACTCGCGACTGCAGCACCCATAGAATGCCCGATAAGGGTAATCTTCTTGGTATTGTAGGTAGTGGAAGCTTTCTGGACCGCTTTAAAAACGCTATCCTGGGAGCTGTATATCTTTTAGTTAAAACTAGCGATGGCCGTGGTCTTTGAAATACATACTAGGTGAAGGACTGAAGGAAGCCATTGTGCACTTGAGCACCACTAGGGAGACCGGGGAAGAGGGATTGGGGAGGTGAGGTGAGGAAAAAGTTGGCATCTTGCAAAAGAGGGACGAGTTTGAAGGGATCGGTTCCTTGGTAGACGACGACAATGGAGGACATGGCAGGATAGTAGCCAACAAACCCTAGTGATCATGTCGTTCGTTAGGACAGTATAATAAAATAAAGGGAAAAGGGCGTACAATACTGTACAACTCCTCCATCTCCTCCACTATCGACAGTTTTGAAGCCAGATAATTTCGAGCAGGCAGCTGCATCAAAGTCAAAAAGGAAACCACCCGATAGACAAGTATTACGTACGTCCACAATTCCAGTTCGCAGTTAAAGAAGGTCTGAGAGCAGGTAAGAGAATGAACGGGTTTTTGGAGATTTTTGGGACTCACGAGCAGTAGGAAGCTGATGCGAAAAGAGTGTAAGGGTCGAACGCATTGATCTAGGCAAAGGTAAGATACTCGAGTAACCATAACGGAGCATAGAATTAATAGATATGGCGTACATCTGCGGTCGACAAGGTCGAAAGAGCTCTCTCGGCCAACGGAGTGGGGGCGGCATGGACAATGCTCAGGAACAAACCAAGCACCAAAAAGAGAGCGACGCGGATTTGAGAGAACATTTGGAACACCAAATTTGCAGGGAATGTGTGGGCTTGCTGAGCAGCTGCCTACTGATCCTCTACCGTCCCATCATCCCATTTATACTCACGTCGGAGTATTTTGGGCATATCGTTCTGGTGCCAATCCGCAGGCTTGAGAAGAGGTACTTGAGATACACGTACAATACACCTCCTTTTTTGATGGGATCTCCTAAGGAAGAGGCGATGAGATCACGCTGTGAATATGTCGAAGCTGCTAGGCTCATCCGGCTCAGTGTTACCGGCTGCTTCTCCCAGGGTGGTGATTGCGGGGGCTAGCCAATGAGGAAGCCACCGACCAGTAACAAATTGAGAAATTCGGGGATGCGGGGGTGAATGGCTGCCACTTTGCCCCGCATATGGTAGCCGGCGGTCTGACCACTGAGACAAAGTCGCTCGATAATCCAGATATCCATCTCTTCCGAATACAATGACCCGTATGTCGCGCCATGAGCTGATTGGGCCTTGATGTTGAAGTGGTCATGCCACCATCAAGCTGGTTAATCGAATGAATGGTCCATCCCGATGCCTTTCCTCCAAATCAATAGAACGCCCGTCGTTTTGTCAGCGCACAACATGGTATGTAGGGTCATGAGGTGCAGGGATTCCATTATGCCGCTGGAGATAGCCCGAGAAGCAGGTCACACGGTGCCCTGGCCAAGAGGGCTCTGGCTGAGAACCATGATCCTCCTGCCGCCCATCGCCTTCACGAGAATTGTCAAAATAACTGCGCCAGCCGCATCTGGTTTGTCTTGATTTGAAGAGAGGAATATGGATAAGTCGGAGTAAGGACGACAAGGACGACGATTCTTGTGAGGGATTTGTAAACTTTGCCAACCTCTGAGATTCAAAGCCCTGGCATACCGGCACCGCAAACTTTGATGTACCTGACGAAACACTCTTATGCGACGGTCTCCCGTTTCTGTCTCGGGGTTCAGTGAAATCGACATGGGTTTCCTGGCTACGACGAACTCGGTTGAGAAAGTGCCTGTGTAACCGAATGCTATTTTTGTAAATGTCAGACAGGTGAATACGGTTTTGGGAAAAGATTGGGTTAGGGCAAGGAGCTCTGGCTTACTTGGTGCCGGTGGTCGGATAGGGGTAATCACGGTGTTCTCTTGCGTTCCACTAACAGAAAGGACGCGTAGGTGAGAATAACCAAAAGGTATACGGGATCGAATGTCGTTTTCTCCTTCAAGGAATTTTCCGCACAAGGTGGAACAGTGCCAATACTGGATACCCACCCAGAGTGTGCATGACAAATAGCACTCATCTGACACCTATTGTTCAAATGAAGTATGTAAGAGATAAGTGTTCACGTTGACAGGGGCAGCAGAGCTAACGAATGAGGTCACTATGGGTGTGCAGACGGATGGCTACTCCGGTCTTGATCCTCTCCAGGTGAGACTTACGAAATGGAACGAAATGCGCGCGACAAGAGACTCTTATATGCGTCTCAGAGAGCGTATTTTGGGGGTCAAGTTCGCGATATTGAAATTGTTTTGGTATCTGTACAGGATGCTAGCGCATTGTACCCGCATTTGTTCCAAACCTACTCCGGTTTCCTATCAACATCCTATCCAGA